CTTTTTGTGTGTAGCTCCTCCCATAGCTTTATCGAGACATAACTGACATATAACATTCTTTAAGTTCAAGGTGAGTGATGTGTTGTTTGGATCTATCGCTATATAGCTATATAGTGTTTTGATTTGCACTTACACAGGGCAAAGCCATCATCCCTGTAGCATTAGCTAACACCATCATTGTTAACATAACTACCACTTATTTGTGATGATGAGAAAATTTAAGATCCACTCTTAGCAATATTCAAATATAAAACAAGTGTTGCTAAAGAGAATCACTACGTTGACCTGATATCAGATTCCTATGACTTGCTGATGTTATAACTGAAAGGTTATGCTTTTGAGCAACAGCTTCCATCCTCCACCAGCAGCTCCTGGTGACTACGGCTCGAGGTCTATTTGGCCTTTTTTTTTTTTTTTAAGATTTATTTATTTGCGCATATAGAACTGGGGTACAGGCCAGAGGCACAGGAGTGGCAAGAGGATTCACCACACACAGAGCGGGCAGCAGAATAGGCAGATTGATGAAGTCCACTGCTGAGGGGAGCAGCGGGTGGGTCAGGAGAGGTCTGCCGCCCATGTGGTCACCTCCAGGCTGGCCGGGATCGAACTCGTGCGGAAGTGGCTTTAGCTTCTCAGTGCAGTGCTTTAACCCGCTGCGCCACCAGGGAGGGCCTGTTTGGTCTTTTTTGATTCCACCTATATGTGAGATTCTATAGGATTTGTCTTCCTTTCTGACTTATTAATCACTTACATATAATGCCCTCAAGATTTACCCATGCTGCAGCCAAGGGCCAGACCTCCTTTCTCATGACGGAACAGTGTTCCATTGCATTCCATAAACATTTAATGTAATTTTTGATAGTTCATCTTATTCTTTGGCTTTCTACTTGACTCCTGTGTTTTGTTTGCTCTTCTTGCCTTTTAAAATTATCTGAATACATCACATGACTCGTAAAAGAGATGGAGTCATGTGAGCTCTCTCAAATAATGTCATTTCAAGTCACTGCTTCCTCCTAGGTGGGTCCTAAGTATCATTCCTAAGTACTGACATTTCGTGAAAAAGCCAACCCAGGTGGCATCTTCACACCTTACTAATCCCTCAGCAATTGGGGTGCAGGGTGAGGGGGTGTTGGGAGTAGCCTCAGAGTCTGGTATATGAGGGCCAGAGGTTTATGACCTCTGGTGGCAGAGACAAGAACTTAAACAACCCTTTCGAAAAAGGTGTGTTTCTTTGGTTCCCACAGATCTGCAGCAGAAGGGAACCCACCTGTCCAGGTATTTATAACACAGGTATTTCTAATGAGCATTGACAATGGCTGTAGTTTCTGCATTCACCGATGTCAGTTGGTTGAATCCTTGGCAGTTTATGTATAAGGGACTTGAGTACCCACAAAGTTTGGCATCTGAAGGGGTTTCTGAAATCAGTGATGACAGTTCAGCTTTGGGGGAGGCAGTTGTGTGTGGCGTTTCCACCAGGCGGGAGTCACCATCCCATGCCCTGGTGGTGTTCAGGGTCAAGTGTATTTATTGGATGAATGAGTACCTGACACTCCCAGAGCTCTTGCTCTATGCCAGGTGCTGTGCTAAGGGCTTTCCTATTATCCTCAGAACAACCCTGCAGTAAGACCAACTGGCGTGCCCATTTCAGGGGTGGGGAGGCACAGAGAAGACACGTAACCCATCCAAGGTTAAACTCGAGGCAGGGTAAGACAGCCCACAGGCTGATAACTGTCAAAGGGAGCTCAGGGGTGGGGTCCAACCCTTTGGGTTCTGAAACTGCAGGCCTTTTGGGGGCACTCCAGGTATGTGCCCAGCCCGCTAACAGCTTGCTGCCATCTGCTCTCTCCTCCTGTATAGTTTGCCTCTCTTTGCCCTGTTTAATATTTAAATCGCACATATTCTGAGACATCCCTATGTTACTGACCTGCTTACTTATACAACCATCTTTCCCACACACCAGGGGCAGCAGTGGGAAGCCTAGCGGGTGTCTGGAAGCAAGGCAGGAGATGGAGAGAGGGGGGAACCCCCCACTGCACCCTGGGGCTCTGAGCAGGGTCTCCCGGACAAGGAGCCAGTGTGAATAAAATGAGGCAGACCTACTATCAAGAGATGAGGGGCCCTCCCTGGTGGTGCAGGGGGTTAACGCACAGCACTAAGAAGCTAAAGCCACTTCAGCGTGAGTTCCATCCCCCCCTGCCCCAGAGGTGACCCACACGGTACGGCAGACCTCTCCTGACCCGCCCGCTGCTCCCCTCAGCAGTGGACTTCGTCGATCTGCCTGTTCTACTCCCCGCTCTGTCTCTGGTGAAGCCTCTCACTGCCTCTGCACCTCTGGCCTGTACCCCAGTTCTGTATGCACAAATAAATAACTCTTTTAAAAAAAAAGAGAGATGGGGCAGGATAACATTATATAGCTCCTGAGCTTCTGCAAAATAACCGGGCTGTGTCGGGGGGTCTGTTTGCCCTCTCCTTATAAAATGGTGGGCTCATCCCTTGGTAGTGAGTGAGGGTTGGGCGCAGGAGCAGGTCCAAACCGGTGGTGCTGCCTTAACCATCTCTTGAACAGCCTCCAGGGCTGAAGCAGGCCCGGGAGAGGGAGCCCTGCGCGCAGAGCTTTCTGGAAAAAGAGCCCTTTTCCCAAGGGACAGACACTCACCCAGTCTCCGGTTTCTCCTGTCCAGGGTATGGGTGGCCTTTCCGGCCCTGGCCAGTGGCTTCTACTTGAGAGACCCCTGACCATAAGGCTGCGGTCTTCACAGCCCCCTAGCTAGTGGGTGATACCAGGAGATGTCCCCTTTCCCGGTTCCACGTCACCATCTTGAGCAGAGCCCAGGATCTCAGGTCACTGACTGCAGAGGTCTGCTGGAAGGGAGGGGTGATGGGGTGCAGAGAGGCTTCCCGAGAGAGAGAAATCTGTGCCGGCTCCCGACACCTGGCCTCTTCCCTGCTCACTGGCTCTGCAGCCTTTCTGTGCCCACGACCAGTTTCGGTGACAGTGAGGCCCAAAGCTCAGCCCCAGCCCCTACCCGGGGCCGAGAGGCCAGCAGCCACCTCAGATTCCTGCCTTAGCGCGGACTCGTCACCCCGGACCCCTGATCCCACCGCTCTGGCCCCCTGGTCCCCTCCCTCTGCTCTCCTGTGGCTCCACCGGGCCCAGGGACCCGCGCGGGGCCGGCGAGGGTCCTCTCCGGGCAGCTTAGAACCTGGCAAGCTCAGGGTCCGGGGCCCTCAAGCGCGGTGCGGGGTCTGGGCTGGGGGCAGGGGCGCAGCGGGGGCCGGGCGGGTTGGGGG